TTTCTCTCATCTGTTCCTCATGCAGATTTTTCTACATCTTGAGGTGTGGGACTTGTTCCCGATTTCAGACACCAAATATAAAATAAAAATAAACTCTCCAAGAGCCATTCAAGTCTTTCTAATTTTAAAAAGAAATCATACAAATAAGCATGGCAGTAATTGAGATAAATGACTTTTTTTAAACAGCAAAATGTGTTATTTTTCACAGAGTCTCAGTGAAAGAAAAAAAAAAAAAAAGAAAGAATGAGAGAAGCTTGGGTGTCGGGTGAGAAATTCTCTGAGGAGACCATAAAGTGTCTCTTGAGTAAACACCATCGTAGGCATCAGCCAGGTAAACCCCTCTTCTTACAACAGTTTCACCTTGAGAAGTCAAGACATCTTTGGGTATATCATTGTTTTCCTAACAGTTTCCTCAGAGCCCAGTGTTTGGGAGGAGAACAACAATCAGATATGCACAGAGTGAAGTAGACTTTAGCAGGACTAGATACATTTTTTTGTTAAAGTTAATATGCTGTGATTGATTCCATTCCTGCCACTTGAGGCCGATTGAGGAGTAGAGGCAAGCAGAGGGGAGGCGCTGGTCAATGGGCACAAAGTTTCGGTTTGACAGGAGGAGCAAGTTCTGGTGTCTGTTGCCCAGCATTGTGACTAGCTGATAATAAAGCATTGTATATTTCAAAATCACTAAACTTTAAATGCTCTCGCCACAAAGAAATGATATATATATATTTGAGGTGATGGCCATGTTAATTGGCATGATTTGATGATTCCACATGGTATACATGTATTGAAACAACACACCGTATTCTACAAATGATTGTCAATTAAAAATAAAACTTCAGAAAAAGGCAGATGACATGACTGAGATCACATTAGAATCTCGATGTCTAAACATATAATTTGAAAGAACAAAATACAAAAATGTCACTTCACAGGAGAAAAAGAGAAATATGTCAGCAGTAGTGCCTACTATACATGGAAGAAAATTAAAATAACAGTTACTGAGCAACCAATGTGTGCCAGGCATTATGCTAGGCAACTTCCATATAAAACATTATTTGTTACTCATTAAAATACTTTAAAGTTGGATATGATCATCCTCATGTTACAGAATACTAAACTATAGCTTAAGACATCCAAGGTAGTTTCTCAAGGCCCCAACCAATGTGTGACTGAGTCAGGATTGAACCCGTATCTTTCTACACAGTGACTGACTATTCATAGACCTTTGTGAGTCCTAAGCCCTCCTACTTCTGTAAGCCCAGCCCATATTCTTTCAAATATATTAAAACAAACACCTAACTTGAAAGGTAATTTATGTGTTAACCATATCTTTTGAGTTGCCATTGAAAAATAAGTAACTTTGTGACTTCAGAGCAAGAAAAATGATTTTTCATGTTGCAATTTTATTTTTAAATTTGGCAGCCAATAGTTTTTTTTTTCGGGGGTGGGGGGGCTTTGTTTTTTTTCAGGGTGAAAACACTTTTTATAGACTCTTGAAAAGTTCCTGGGTTCTCACATTGTGGCTGTAGTACCTACCAGACACAACAGCCTGACATTTCCCACAGCATTAGGGAATGTGGAGCAATAATGTGGTCTGCTTTCTGCTACAATACTTGGTAGATGATGTCACTCTAAAACTAAAGACATTTATTTATAGAACAAACGTCATTATTATTTGTCTTTCCCTCTAGACTGGGAGCTATCTGAGGCCACTGACCATTTCTAATCAATTCTTGCAACTCAGAACTTATTTTATTAGCATATAGCAATAAATATTTCAAGAAATACTTACTGAATGAACACAAGAAAGAATGATGGCTGGGACTAAGCAACTATGACCTGAAGTCTCCTACTGAGTCAGTGACAACTCTCACCTTAGAACCTGGTTTTCTGGTACCTCACCTGATCACGTTGCTTTCATCACTTCATAGATTGAAGTCCACTTTGTTGAACACCTGTAGATGGTCTTCAGACTCTTAAATATTGACGACATTAGGAAAAATGTTTCTATTCATCTGGCTGCCACACAAAACAGTTATAGACACCTAGATGATTTCTCCACCATTCTTAAATTTCTAATCTCTTTTCTGGTTTGATAGCTTAAAAGTTTCTTATTAGTGACTTATTCATAATTATCCATTGGCTATATTTGGCCTGGGAGCTCTTTCTTTGCTTTCTGAAGTTAAAAAATTACGGAATCTTTTTTATTTACCATTCAGGTAATTTCTGTGACTTACCTTTACATTCCTCCTACCTTGTTCTCAAGTGGACAGCATTCTGTGAACATCTTTGGAGAGTTATGTTAATGGGTAAAAGGACATAGATTAGGTACTCAATTTATAGACTAAGGAATAAATGGAATGGACTTCAAAAAATAATAAATGACTGGTTTGAAATCTTTTACAAGTAAATTTCTTTACACTATCAAAATAATATGGATTTCTTTTTTGTGGTATGCGTTAGCTACTAAGTGCTCGAAGAACCTATGTGCCTAAGATCAATGAATCTTGCTTTACATTGTGTTTCTTTAGCTAAATATAAAATATGTCTTCTCTTATTTCCACTCAATTTTCAAGGCCTAAGAGAGCACCAAGGAGTTCCTTTTTCAGATGCAAGAAGAAAAATAATCTCTTGCAATTCCCAGTAGAGTTCATTGTCATGGGTTATGACAACAACTAGTTCCAGCACTTGTTGGAAAGACTCGGGAAATGGACCCCTTGTATGCCCCTGCAAATGGTGGTCAGCAAAATTGTATACGCAGGCCTTCGGCCTGATTAGGTTCAGACAAACTGTGCCAGCAGAGAAGAATGGCAGCTTACTGTCTTCAAGGAGGTGAATGCAGCTTATAGCAGTGTAGGTGAGAGGAAAGATGGGAGACTGTGGAAAAGGAGATTGGGGCTCTGATCCTCAGTTTGAAATGAAGGGGAAAATGCCCATTATGACTACAGCTACCTTCTAAGAAGGAGAATAACTTAAACACAGGGTCCTTTATTCTGCTAATCCCATGGGCAGTTTCAGAGCTGATTTTGGGGGTAAGCGGCTTGAGAGGTCTGAACTGATGATATGAAAGAGAAGAATCTTGAGCTTTGAGAAAAAGGGAGACTCCATACAAGAGAGAATATGTGAGGAGAAATGATTTAAAAATGAAAGGAAGAAGCTATAATGGGCCAATGTGGTGTGAGGTTGGGATGTTACAAGTTTGAAATGACCAGAGTAGAGAAACTGAAATGACTTGTAAGAGTTAAGTTCTTGATACTCAGTTTGAAATGTTCTGGGCTGTAGGTATAAAGAAGCCCTGCTTCCCATCTCTTCAAATCCTTAGTTAACTCTTTAAATACATGTTTCTGTGAGGGGTTTTAATGCTTCATTTTGCTTTTGTGAAATTAAAGAGAGTCTATATAAACAATGTAGAGGAAAATGGTTTTCTTGAGGGTGTATAAAATTTTTTATAACAAAATAATTCAGTGAAATTAGGAATGGAGAATCAGAGGCAGACTTCACAACTAAGAATTAGTAGAAAGCTTGGAGAGAATTTTCAACTTCCACCAGATATGAAATAGGAATTCAATCTTCTTAAGACCTTAAAAGTTAGGGAGATAAACAGGTATTTGCATTAAATCAGTGTTTTTCTTGTTACATAAGTAATATGTTTTGGACAGTTTAGAAATAATATAACAAAATTGTAAACTTTTTTGTATCCTGTTTTTAAAAGTGGGAAAATACACATAACATAAAATTTATCATCTTATCCGTTTGTAAGTATTCAGTTCAGTAGTAGTAAATGCACACACATTGTTGCAACCCATCACAACCATTCATCATAAGAACCTTTCACCCCCTTCCCAGACTGAAACTGTATATACACCAAACAATAAGCCCTTTGGCAACCACCATTCTATTTTTGGTCTCTATGAATTTGAATATACTAGGTACCTCATATATTTGGAATCATATAATAATTATCTTGTTTCACTTAGTATAAGTTGTTCAAGTTTCATCTATGCTGTAGAATGTGTCAAATCTCCTACCTTTTAAAGGTTAAATAATATTTTATTGTGTGTATCTACCACATTTCATTTATTCGTTAATTTGTCATTGAACACGTGGGTCGCTTCCACTTTTTAGCTATTGTGAATAATGCTGCTATGCACATGAGTATACAAATATATTTGACACCTTACTTTGAATTCTTTTAGGTATATAATGAGAAATGAAATTATTGGATCAATATTAATTCTATTTTTCATTATTTTAGGCATCACCATACTGTTTTCCATATCAGCTGCACCATTTTGCATTCCCAACAGTGCACAAGGTTTCTAAATTATTCAAATCCTCACCAAGTCTGGTTATTTTCTTTTGTTGGTTTGTGTTTTAGTAGCTATCCTAATGGATATGGAGTGGTATCTCATAGTTGTAATTTGTGTTTCTCTAATTATTAGTGATGTGGAGCATCATTTTGTGTGCTCATTGGACATTTGTATATTTATTTTTGAAGAGATGTCTATTCAATTCTTTTTTTTTAAAAAAAATTATTTATTTAACTTTAGGTGCATACTGTGTTTGGCATTTCTCCCCATGTTATCCCTTCCCACCCTTCTCTCCCTCCCCACCCCCCACTGTCTCTCCCCTACCCCCACAACTGCCCCCAGTGTATGGTGCTCCTCTTCCTGAATCCACATGTTCTCATTGTTCAACACCCATATGGGTGAAAACATGCAGTGTTTGGTTTTCTGTTCTTATGTCAGTTTGCTGAGAATGATGGTTTCCAGATTCATCCAAGTCCCTACAAAGGACACAAACTCATCATTTTTTATGGCTGCATAGTATTCTATGGTGTATATATACCACATTTTCTTTGTCCAGTCTATCATTGATGGGCATTTGGGTTGGTTCCAGGTCTTTGCTATTGTTCACAGGGCTGCAATGAACATGCATGTTCATGTATCTTTTATTTATTTATTTATTTATTTATTTATTTATTTATATTTTTTTAACACTGTACAACCCCCTTCAGTGCTCACAGCCCACAGGTAAGGGGCTGGGCAATGGTTCGAGGCTGCCATTTACTCTGGCATGGTACACTATGTCATGTATCTTTATAGTAGAATGATTTATAGTTCTTTGGGTATATGCCCAGTAATGGGATTGCTGGGTAAATTCTTTGTCCATTTTAAAAATCAAATTTTTTTTTTTCTTGTTGAGTTGTAGGAGTTCTTTATAGATCCTGTATATTAGACCCTTATTGGATATATAATTTGCAAATATTTTATTCCCTTCTGTTGGTTGCTTTCTTTCCACTCAGTTGATAAGTATCCTTTGATACACAAAAGTTCTAAATGTTGATGAAGTACAATTTATCTATTTTTTTCTTTTATTTCCAATGGTTTGCTGTCCTAGCTAAAGGATCGTTACCAAATTCAATGTCATGGAGCTTCCCCCTTGTTTTCTTCTTAGAATGATATCGTTTCAGCTGTTAAATTTAGGTTTTTGATCAATTTTGAGTTAATTTTTGTATATAGCATAAGGATGTTTCATTTTTTTGTGTGTGTGTACACATTTTTTAAAAGCTGCTGTTCTCATGAAAATATTTCTAACTCATCAAAATTTTCCCTCACCATGTTTTATACTGACATCTTGGACTTTTCTTGCTTGTATCATAATTTTAATGCCATTATGTGTAAAAATGCACCTTCAAAATCTACCTTAAATAGGGTAGATTAAGTTATAGTCACCAGTGAAAGCCAGATCCTCCCCATCAAGTTGTTTAGGAGAAGTTGTAGGGGAAGATGAACTGGTACCTTTGAAGGAAATACAACTAAACAATATCTTATTGTATATTTATTAAAATGTGCTATTTCCTGGTGACTTCCAAGTCTATATTGAATGATGTTGATTGCTTACACAACCTCCATTTCCTCCCTGATATTTCCCCTTCAGAGATCTCCAGTGTTGCTCATATGTATTTATATCCATCTCACGGCTCTTGCAACTCATGAGAAATTTTTCCTTTCCCGGCTCCAAAAATGGATCCCAATGAATCAAGCCAGAGCCTTTCAGGAATCCATGTATAAGTCAAGCATCACATAGTTCGTTGATTGGTGTTACTGGTCCAGGAATGGGTGTAAAGTCTGGAGGGAAGAAATTCTATTTTCTCTGTGGATGTAAAGAAGGAGGCAGGGAGGCCCTGCTGTTACTAGGGGAATGAGAGATTCGTAGCCATTTTATAGTTACTAGGGGAATGAGAGATTTGGTGTGGATTATGCTAGATCTCTTGATAACAGAAAGAAGAGTTGGCAAGAACATATGCTCCTAATAATGTCACAGAGTTACTGAAGCCATCAAGTCTAAAGTTAGTGCTACCTCTGGAAATCATGTGACAGGAAATTATTTGGCTGTTTAAGATAATTTAAGTTTGCTGTTCTCAAAGCAGCTTAAAGCATGCTAAAAGACATACAGAGAAAGAGTTAACAGCAACGAAAAAAGCACACTGAAGTATACACACCAGTGACACTATAAGGCAACCACATAAACAAGTCTGCAAAGTAACCAGCTAACATCATGATGAGAAGATTAATTCCCCACATATCAATAGTAACCTTGAATGTGAATAAGCTAAATGTCCCAATTAAAAGACACAGAGTGGCAACCTGAGTAGGGAACCAAGACCCAGTGTTATGCTATCTTCAAGAAACCCATCTCACCTGCAGTGACACACATATACTCAAAATAAAGGGATGGAGAAAATCTATCAAGGAAATGGAAAACAGAAATAAGCAATGGTTGCCATCTTAGTTTCAGAAAAAAAGAGACTGTAAACCAAGAAAAATTTTAAAAAGACAAAGAAGGGCTTTATTACATAATGGTAAAGGGTTCAATTCAACAAGAAGCTCTAACCCTTCTAAGTATATATGCACCCAATACAGAAGCACCCAGATTCATGAAGTTCTTAGAGACCTTGAAAGAGACTTAGGCTCCCACACATTAATAGTGGGAGACTTTAATGCCCTACTGATCAAATGGACCTGATAGACATTTTCAGAATTCTCCAGCCCCAAACAACAGAATATATATTCTTCATATTCACATGACACATACTGTAATATCTTTCACATAATCAGAAGTAAAACATTCCTCAGCAAATGAAAAGAACTGAAATCATGACAAATAATGTCTCAGACCACAAAACAATCAAATTAGAAATCAAGATTAAAAAGTTCACTCAAACCAATACAATTTCATGGAAACTGAATAACTTGTTTCCTAAATGACTTTTAGGCAAATACTAAAATTAAGGCAGAAATCAAGAAGATCTTTTAAACTAATAAGCACAAAGATACAACATACCAGAATCTCTAAGAGACTGCTATGTCAGCATTAAGAGGAAAATTTACAACACTAAAATGCCACACGAAAAGAAAGATATCAAGCTAACAACAACTAATGTCACAACTAAAGGAACTAGAGAACCAAGAGCAAAAAAATCCTAAAGCTAACAGAAGACAAGAAATAGCCAGGCCAGGTGCTGTGGCTCATGCTTGTAATCCCAGCACTTTGGGAGGCCAACATGGTGAAACCCCATCTCTACTAAAAATGCAAAAATTAGTGAGTGTTGTGGTGGGTGCCTGTAGTCTGAGCTATTCGGGAGTCTGAGGCAAGAGAATTGCTTGAACCTGGGAGGCAGAGGTTGCAGTGAGCTGAGATCGTGCCATTGTACTCCAACCTGGGTGACAAGAGCAAAACTCCATCTCAAAAAAAAAATAAATAAATAAATAAAAGGAAAAAAGAAAGAGGAAAAGAAATAACCAAAGGAGATTGATACACAACAAATCATGTCTCAATGAAAATATCAATGAATGCAGGAGCTTTTTTTGAAAAAAGTTAGATAGATCACTAGCTAGACTAATAAAGAAGAAAAGAGAGGAGATTAAAATAAACGCAATCAGAAACAACAAGGGAAATATTATCAAAACCCCAAAGAAATACAAACAACTATCAGAGAACATTATGAACACGTCTATACACATACACTAGAAAATTGAGAAGAAATAGATGAGTTCCTGGACACATAGACCCTCTCAAGACTGAACCAGAAGAAATGGATTCCCTGAAGAGACTAATAATGAGCTTTGAAATTGAGTCAGTAATAAATATCTTACCAACCAAAAATAGCCCAGGACCAGACAGATTCACAGCTGAATTCTACTAGATATGCAAAGAAGAGGTGGTACCATTCTGCTGAAATGATTCCAAAAAAATTGAAGAGGAGGGACTCCTCCCTAACTCATTCTGTGAGGCCAGCATCATCCTTATACCAAAATCTGGCAGAGACACAACAAAATATGAAAACTTCAGGCCATTATTATCAATGAATATCAAAGAAAAATCCTCAACAAAGTACTGTAAACTGAACCCAGCAGCACATCACAAAGCTTATTCACCACAATCAAGTAGGTTTTATCCGTGGGATGCAAGGTTGGTTCAACATATGCACATCAATAAATGTGATTCATCACATGAACAAAACTAAAGGCAAACCAAATGATTATCTTAATAGACACAAAAAGCTTTCGATAAAATTCAACACTGCTTCATGTTAAAAACTCAAAAAAACTAGGTATTGAAGAAACATACAGCAAGATAATAAAAGCCTTCTATGACAGAGCTACAGCTAACATCATACTGAATGGGCAAAAGCTGGAAGCATTACCTTTGAAAACCAGCCCAAGACAAAGATGGCCTCTCTCACCAGTCTAATCCAACACAGTATTGGAAGTCCTGACCAGGAAAATCATAAAAGAAAAAAAATAAAAGACATCTAAATGGGAAGAGAGGAAGTCAAACTATTCCTGTTTGCAGATGACATGATCCTGTAACTAGAAAACCCTGTAGTGTCAGCCCCAAAACTCCTTTACCTGATAAACAACTTCAGCAAAGTCTCAGTATACAAAATCAGTGTGCAAAACTCACTGACATTCCTATACACTAACAACAGTCAAGCTGAGAGCAAACTCAGGAATACAATTCCAGGTACAATTGCTACACATATGCATACACACAAACCTAGGAATACAGCTAACAGAGAGGTGAAAGATCTATACAAAGAGAACTAAAAAACATTGTTCAAAGGAATCAGAGATGACACAAATGGAAAAATATTCCATGTTCATAGATAGGAAGAATCAATATTATTAAAATGTCTATAACTGCCCAAAGCAATGTATAGATCTATGTTCTCACTCGTGTATGGGAGCTAAATGAGAGTACATGAACACGAAGAAGGGTATAACACACAGTGGGGTGATCAGAGGATAAAGGTGGGAGAAGAGGAGAGGATCAGGAAACATAACTGATGGTTACTAGGCTTAATACCTTGGTGACAAAATAATCTGTACAATGAACCCCCATGACACAATTTTGCCTATATAACAAACTTGCATATGTACCCCCAAATTTAAAATAAAACTATAAAAAAGTACAAACATATTTTTAAAAAGTACAAACATATTTTACTGGATTCTTATTTGAGATAAGTATGTCAGGTATGATTATCACCATTGAGAAAATGAAGATACAAGCTCAGACATGAGTATTTTTTGTTAGCCTACTAATCAGGATAAGTTTTAAAAACTGTTCTGGGACCAAGCTAGATATTTTATTTTGAGTCCTACTTTTTGGTTTTGTTTTGTTTTGCATTATTTTTTTCTGCCTTGTGATCACGAAAAAAAGACACTTATTCCAGCTTAGGCTAATACAGTAATTGTACATTTTTGTCCAAGAAAGTCTACCTTTATTGTAATATCCTGATTTCTCCTTCATATAGTATTCTATCAACCTTCCTCAGATTTACATTTCAGTTTTTTTCTGGGAGAGAGAAAAAAAGATACAGAGAGATAGCCAGAGTGGGGGTGGTTGGGAGAGAGAGGGAGAGGGAGACAGAGAGAGGGAGAGGGAGACGAGAGGGAGAGAGAGAGAGAGAGAGAGAGAGAGAGAGAGAGAGAGAGAGAGAGAAAGAGAAAGAGTTGGTTTTCATATAGTTCCAGAGTATGTTTCTTACATATCAAAGATAGGCCTGTTCACTTGTGCAGGAATGAAGTACTTTGCTTAAAATAATTTTTGAAAAACCACTTTGTCCA